GTCACTTTCCAGTAACTTTATCCCGAACAAAACCACAGTTAGTTACACACTATTCTCCCAATAAACTAACTATACAAACCTTGTAATAAAGCGAACGAAATTAAATAAAGCGATATGATGACGCTGAACATAGCGACACCAGCGGTCACAAAATTTGAATTTAACCTTTATGACTTAATTATTAAACTGAATGTACAATCACAGCGGTGACCTGCGAAAAAAAAAAAGCAAAAATCATTTGCCATCTTCGCACAAATGTTCCTTTTTCTCAACCTCTTCGAGAACCAAATACCTGTTTTTAACCGTTATAACGCAAAAAGAATCTTTTCCTTCAATGTCAAATATTGAACACAAATTCCTTAATTTTCCTTTAAGGTGTTGCATATAATTTATACATAAAATTTATAACCATCATTGATACATAGCATTCTTATAATGTTTATCTGACATGTTCGCTCTAAATTCCAAAATTTTTTTTCCGCATCCGTAAGTAACAAATAAAATGAGAATTACAACAATCACCAGGTAACAAAATAGCTTCCAGCAGAAGTGTCAATTTTAAAAAGCTCTTAATAATCTCAACAAGTCATTCACATGTTACTACACCTAGAATACTCAACTGAACTAGTAAAACCATAAAAAACAAACTGAATTCTTCTACATCATTGCGCTTTTCATTCAGTTAGAATTCATCTACACAACCACCGTCTATCATAATAAATAACAGCCGCCCAACGAAAATCACAAAACTAACTTTCTACTTACTTTCACACTTCTTTAAACAAAAAACAAATATATAGCAATTATTCTGTAGTAGAAATAACCGCTGAACCATAAAGTTGCTACAACAGAAACTAGCATAGATCGCAGGGTTTTCAACTAAACAAGAGTTCAACAATGCAACTACAGTACTTCACAAGACCCATCAGTCCATCGTTACCATTCTATGAACACCTCTCAGAGTCATTTGGCCACAAACATCCTTAAACCATTTAACACCGCTTCTGTATCAAGCTGAACAAAAATGAGAAATCTTTCAGAGCTGGCCCACTTGATGCGTTAAAACAGTTCACTTATCAAAATGCTTATGTGACCACTTCAAACACTGTTGTCATTCGACCATGCTCACAATGACGAAGAAACTTGAGTTTAAATACATGGTCTTGCTGACCATAAACTAAATACTCATCGTCGTTTGTTACTTCTAACGGTTTAGACAGTTCAGCATTAGCAGCAAAATCTAGTTCATCAATAAGAGAACTGTTTATGTTGTAATCCACGCCCATATTTTCGAAGCACAGTTCAACTTTTACTAAATTGCCTTCAATGCCATTAAGTGCCTGCAAAAACACAGAAATCGCAGCTGTTCTGTAATTTATCCAACAGATATAATACTCTGATATTCTATTTTTATCAAAACTGTAATTTAAAGTAAATAAGATAACACATTTCTTTAAGTTCTTTTAGTTCGCTTAATAAATGAATAGAATTCAGTGAAAGTCCTGAAATATCTGACAGCCACTACTCAATACAATCCTCTAAAGACTCCCAAAAAAATAACAAATGAAAATTGCTTAAATCAGTAGCGTTCTACCTTTACGAGTTTCATTATAAGCTCTAACACCTCCTGAACGTTGTCCCACACGAAGTAGACATACATACGCACAGAAAGAACACTGTCACCCATTTTATTCGGACAGAATAACAGTGATAAAGTAGTCCAATCGCTCAAACTTCGATAGCTTGACAAATCAATCACTGAGTCATACAGTTTCATGAGACTAGCAATTCTTTGTGTACTAACATCGGTAATCATCTGCAATTCCAGAACCACTGCCCAGTTTATAGATCAAGGTTCATTATACCAACTCAGCTTAAAAGCCTTCAAAACTTTAGCACCCAACAAAGAAACCTTTTCACTCATATGCTAAGACCATTAGTTTAATAAATAAAAAAAATGTTACCTCGGTAGTGAAAAAAGAATACTGAAACAGAAAAGTACTTGCTCCTAATAATTTTAAATCAGAGAGAATGCCATGAAGAAGAACTACTTCTTCAGGATTTTTAAAATCACCGGCATTGAAGAGTATTTGCCCAAAACGAGCGTACTTCATCACCTCCCGAGCACCAAGGAGACTTGTGTCGTGCAATATTCTGCAACAACATGAACGTCAGTAATATTGAAGTAAATATTAAAGAATGCGAAGAAGGATAAGTAGACTGCTAACATTTATCGGTTATGAATGCTCAAAAGTACAAAAAAAACTGCATTTAAAAGAAAGTCAGTGGCACTTCCTAACATTTTACTTCAAACTACACAAGGCACAGAAAAAACCTAAAAGTTGTCACCAAATTTGCAAATAAAGTTGAATAGAGTAAGAAGTAAAGTCATCACCCGCCCGTCATTAACCTTACTGGTGCTTCGGGACCCTCACTTGGTTCCATCCTAGTCCAAGCGACACTAGACTCTTTCAATAATAAACTAAAAAAGATAAGTGAAGTTAAATTCTCAGATGCGATAATATATTTATATCGCCCACGACAAATTTCTACCTACACAGAAATACTTTTTTTGCATGATCACATTTCCTCACTTAGGCAGTTTTAGTTAGCCCTATGATGAAATTTTCCAACTCTCTGTTCAATAGATTTGGAAAAAAACTTTACAGGCCGAAAGTTGAGCATTATGAACACTTCATAATAATTATCATCCGTGTCATCAATGGTGCAAAAACGAAAAACATAACAGTTGTGTAAATGTTACTTAAGCTTGATCAAAGGCTGCGGTAAGTGTTGGATATTCGCATCCACAAATTCTTTGGCTTTTCTGCAAGTTCTCGAGAACTGGCAAACAGTTCGAGGGTCAGTTCGAGAAAGGATGCATATTAGACAGTCGTTATTGATGCTAAGCATATCTTTCCCAATCACCAATGATATTTGCAGCTGATGTTCTAAGAAAACTTCTGTAACTTCAAGCCGCAAATGCCGTATAAACTAAAAAAACCTTCCGTAATAAATTTAACTGCCAGAAGTGACCCCTTCCTAATCAAAGATCAAAGTACGTACCAGTGCCAAACTTCTTTCCCTTTTAAAAGTTCCACCCATCAATGGTAACAGAATATATTTATTGAAAAGTGTAATTCATTCCATTCCCCCCCCCCCAAAAAAAAAAAGCACTGGTGACTAGAGAAAGCATCTTAAATCATGCAAAATACAGTGGCAAAGCCGCAGTAGATTTTATCACAATCAAGCAGTAAAAAATATAAGTGTAAAAAAGTATTAAAATAATTTGTAAAACCTTTATTGAAAGACTATTTTAACCCGCATTAAAACATGAGTAACAACAGAAAGTAACAAACGTTTGAACAGAGCTTAAACTTCAAAATATAAATGCTAGTTGAATAGCTGTCACTCAAAATTACTTGGCCGTAGCTTTCCTTGAAAATAACGAAAAAAACGAGTAACAGATCAATCGAACAAAATATTAAGGCGAAGAGAATTTTTGTGGGAAAATGAAACTTCTTTGAACTCAAAGGTTTTACACATTAAAAGCCATAAAAACCTAATGAAAAAAGCAAAATCATTTAATAAACACTCGCCAACAAGTTTTTGAAGAGTGAATAAGTGACAGGAAAAACCTGAGGAGCGAATAATTAAGGAGCTGCACAAATATTAAAATAGGTGCCAGTAAGCAAAAGGAGATCAAGTACATCACAAAACAACAATTAGCAGCAGAGGCAGAAATAGCCCTTATAAAGTTTTTAATCAACACGAAACTTCTTTTTAAAATTAAACCTTAAATAAAAGTGGTTGTATAAACAATAAATTAAATACAGTACTCATGGCCTGATAAGGCTAAAAAGCTCAATAGTCTTAAGAAATACGCCACATAAAGTTAATCTCACACAAAGACAAAGAGTAAAATGTCTTATAAGAAACTTGTGGCGCCTTTTAAGGTCAACCTAAGTATCCTTAACTGCAACACGGCGAAGACCAGACGCCCTGTATGCTGAAATTGTTAAGTGATGTGATTAGTTAATCGACAGTCAAGAAGCTAAAAATTCTCACATAACCATGTTCACTAATGAAAATTTAAAACACTCATAAAATACATGTGCAAAAATCCTGAGAACAAATAAAAAAAATAAGGAATTTGACGCGCGAAAATGAAAAAATATCCCACAGATTTCAAAAGTAGTGTAACATTTCCTACCTAGATTCCCTACATTTGAAAGGACATTCGAAGAACCCGTTCCTGCCTAAAATCAGTACGAAGTAAGGATGTGGAGAACGTGTCGATCCATGAGATTTTTACTAAACCATTTTCTTTGAAAACTCTTATAGAGTAACAAAACAAAAAAATAACTAGTAAGGTTGAAAAATGACAACTTGTGGTGTGTTACTCTGTCCTTCAGAACCAACTCCAACTTCTGCGGGCACCTTCTCATCCGCATTAACAAATAATTTTTTGAAAGGGTTTGACCCTCGTCGTGACAAACCACTGTAACAAACAAAATTCTTAAAGAAAAGTCAAGTGCACACTATCGCAAACAAACGACCCAATTAAAAAACGAAAAAAAAAAGTACAGACAAAAAAGTATAGATATAAAAATTAAAAAAATTATTGCACCTTGGCCGAACACCACTTCGATTCTTAAAATAACTACTGCAGATAGAAGGCTTTTCCAGTTTTACAGAGGCAGCTTCTTTAGGCTCCACAGAGATTAGGTGCGTGCTTTCTCCTTGTTCTGGTTTTAACCGCTTTTCTCCAACTCCCAACTCGTCATCCAAAAGAAGACCAGAACTACGTTTTGTGCAACCTCGACCTGGAAGTACGAAAATCATGTGGGTTAATTAGAATAACGTTTTAAAAAACACTTACTCACTAACTCCTGGGAAGACTGAGGAGAAGCGTCAGATAACTGTTGATCAAACTTATACATCCTTAAGAGTTCCTCACAATTCCAGTTTCTTTGTGCTCCATTACCCCTGGGTGACACTCCAATAGCAGCAATTTTCTTTGAACCAGATCTTTTAGGTTCTTCCTTATTTTCCGCCTCTAATTCTTTCGTTTCAACCGGTTTAGCAATTAAAAAGTCCTGGAAAAGATTTCAGATCCGAGCA